GTACTTGTTTATTGTCTGTCCTAAGCTATGTTATTAATTTCATGAGAATAGGGATCTTATGATATTGTTCACCAATTAATTAGTGTAGCACAGAACCACACATATAATATTCAGTGAAACAAAATTGTGTTAATTTAATTATAATGAAAATTTTAAATAAAAATACTTATATATCTCTTTTAACAGGAGAGGTTAGTGCTCCCCCCCTCATTTCTAAAAGCATAGTATTATCTCCTAGCAGGGATATCAAAGTTTTCCTTTCAAAGTTTGTATTGAGAAGTATTTTTGAAGTCACTGGTAGAAAATTAAGTTATCCTTGTTACCCTGAAACAGGGATAAAAGAGGAGAACATTAAGAGGTTGGAGCAGTAGAATGGCAGTCCTAAGTTAAAGCTTAACAAAAACCATAGCAATTGATCTCATTCAAAGAAATAAGCGATTTTTGATTCACTAAATGAATAAATCCTTAGTCTTCTAATGCAGGGATTATAGGTGATTTTCCATGAGGGGCAGTTGTATGTTGAATGGGAGTATGTGGAATTCAGTGAAAGAACATCAAAGGGGGAGAAGAGTGTCCCTTCTGCCAAAACTCAGAACAGAGGAAGAGATTACACGAGAAGGAAAAGCAACACATTTTGGCAAGAAAGTATCTTTTCTCTCCAAATTTCTCTTCAAAATTCTGCACTAAATGTAAGAAAACAGAAAAACTCTGGTGAGCAGAAGGGGTTTCCTGATGCTGAGTTTATCTGAAGTTGTCAAGTTCAGCTTCCTCCTGGAAAGATGATGAAAATTGTGGGGGTGGGATGGAGGGAATGGTGATGGAATTGGTGCAGAGGCCTGCCCAAATTTACATAGTACATGAGACAGAGCCACAACCAGGACCCAGGTATCCTGACCCCTGCACCAGTGGCCCAGTGGGGATTTCTCCACTCTCACCCCACATCCCCCTTCTCAGCTATTATCAATTTTATGCTTTAATATTCCAACCTACTCTTGAACTAAAATGGTCCCATCAGGGCCCTTGCATTTTTTTCCAACCACTTTCTCACCATTGCCAACATGTCATAGATTAGAGAGAAGTCAACAAGAGAGAAATAAAGGCGTTTCCTGGCTGTTGGGCATACTTTAGAAGCAAATGAAAGGGAATCGTAGGGCCAGATTTCGTTGTTTCCTGGTATCTCCCAGAAAACAAGAATCCCAGGAAAAATTCTGTTCAGTAGGGAGGAAATTGGTCCCTTGAATGCAGAGTGCTGCAGCAGAGAGACTAGTATAAATCTCTGGAATAACACAGGGTGGCCAACTGGAGCTGGTATGTTCATTCATTCGTCTGTTCAACAAAGATTTATTTGGTACCTAAGTGTACTGGTTTTACCTGTTCCTTTTATTTGTGCCAAGTAACTCTAAGCGTCATTTATCAGTTTTGTGGTTGCTGTGAAAGGTACCTAAAGAAGTACTTGACTCTGGGTGTGGTCGTGAGGATTAAGTCAGTATTAAACCAGAGAAAGGATGACTGACTATAATTAGTACAGTACAAACAACGAGGAGGAAGAAAATAAATGTATCATGTTTGTGCCTGACGAGGTGGCCGAGTGGTTAAGGCGATGGACTGCTAATCCATTGTGCTCTGCACGCGTGGGTTCGAGTCCCACCCTCGTCGGTTAATAAGGGTTTTCTTTAATCCTCTGCTCCAGGTACCCAAATCGAGGGGTCAGATCACTGCCTAGTCAGCGTTTACCTTTGGTGGATTAGTTCCTTACCACTAAATTGAGTAGACTGCTAAATTTATCTTCCCAATTCAGTAGTCAATGAAATATTCTCTCAAACCTCAGGACAATTCCTCCTCGGTAGCACTTATAATTGTAAATTAACTTATAAGTAGAATCCTATGAGTAGTGTTTCCTTTCTCTAGATGCTAACCTCCTTGAGTGCAGGAGACATCTACACTTACCACAGAGTCCCCAGGTCTTTTTGGGAAACAATTGAATAATTAATAGAAAAATTGTCTAACAAACTTAAAGTATATGATAAAGTCGTCGACCAAGATATGTACAACAAATTACTTGTACTGTACCTTATGAGTTATTTTCAGCCTAATTTTAACTGTACTGCAACTTTCACCAGGTATGCTAACTTTAAAGTAAAATACTCCAACATTATTGCCTAAGGATCCTTAGCTTCGAAGAAGAGAGTGTCTCTGCTTACAGATACGACAAAAATATACTCCATATAACATTCCCAGTTAGAAGCAATAATTCCTTCTTAAGCAAGACAGAGAAAAATGTCAATACTGTGAGTTTCTACTTATGATTTCCATCTTGTCAGGACTTCAGGGAAAATATATATTTTTTCCTTTTATTTAAGGTTTTGAGTAGGCATTACATTCATACGGTTCTAAAAGTATAAAAATCTATATAGCAAAATCCTGCAGTCACTCCTATTCCCCAACCACCTAATGATGCTCCCCACAGATAAAACCAAACAAACTCACTGCCATAGTGATCCTACAGGAAGAGTTGAACTGCCCCCTAGGGTTTCCAAGCAGTAACTGGTAGATACAAACGCTTAACCACTGCACCACCACTGCTATTGATTCCTTCCAGAAACATATCAAGCATATATGAATGTATATTATATAAAACATATATTCCTCTTTATCTCAAAAACAGATAACACAAATGATAACATACTATACACATTGGTCTGTGCCTTGTCCTTTCCCCATAGCCAATATATCTTGGAGAACTTTCCAAATCACAAAAAGTGATAGCTTATTCTTTTCCCAGATTCCACAGTATTCCAATGTATGGGTTACTATATATTTAACTAGCCCTCTATTGATTAATATGTAGGTTTTCCCTTGTCTTCTGCCAATACAAACTATGCTGCAATGGAAAAGTTTATACATATATCATTTTGAATGTGTGTGTATATGTGATACTGTAATATACTTTTTAGAAGTGGACTTACTATGCCCTAATACATATGCATTTTAAATATTTATAGATATTGCCAAATTGCCCCCAAAGGGATTTTATTAATCTACACTCTCAACCAGTAATGATTGAAGTTCCTGTTTTCCTCACTCTCCCCAACAGTGTTTTGACAACTTTGGTATCTCTGTTAATTTAGTAGGTGAAAAGTGATATTGTACGGTGTAATTTTATTTCTTTTATTACAATAAAATATTTGCTATATTTATGAAAAGTTGTTTTGCTTTCATTCACTTGAACTTTTTTTTTTTTTTTTTTAAGTTGAGAGCAATATTTTGTGAAGTGTGGTCTCTGGGCACCTAGATTAAAAATTTATATACAATTTCATTCAGTGTAACAACTCACTCAAGACCATTCCTGGCGTAAGATATTTTGATTTTGAAATTTCCAAAAGAAATGTTCCGATTCGTCAAAGCCTGTGGAATTTGAAATGCCAAAAAAGTGATCAATAGAGACTAAAGTAGGGGGAAAGAGAGAACGGGGAAGGGGAGCCATTCAGCAATTCAACATATATTCCTTGGACCTCTAGTATGTACTGAGCACTACAGTATGGGGCAGGCTGGGTCCCTGGGTGGTGCAAACGAAAGGTTAGCGGTTTAAGTCCACCCAGAGGTGCCCGGGAGGAAAGGCCTGGCGATCTACTTCGGAAAAATCAGCCAGGAAGTCAAACTGGTTTGGTTTTTGGTTTGTGGGGTAGGCTGGGGTGGGGAGGAGGAAGAGGTATCCAAGGTAGGCACTTGGGATGATTCCTGCGCTCCCAGACTTGCGGTCGAATCCCGTAGCCGCACAGCTTTTTGCTCTTGCAAGGACGTTCTCTCTTTGGTAACTGCATACACTCTAGCACCGCCGGCTCTGTGCCCCTTCAAATACTTTGCCTTTCTGGAAGCACAAGTTGCTTGAAGGAGCATAAAACGAAACCAAAACCAGACCCGTTGCCATCGATAGGACGGACGGACTAGAACTGCCCTATAGGGTTTCCAAGGAGCAGCTGGTGGATTGTCAACTGCCGACTTTTTGGTTAGCAGCCTTAGCTCTTAATCACTGCGCCATCAGGGCTCCTAAAAGAGAATAAGCTAGGTGGAATTTTCTGGTTACTCAAATTTAGTGACTCGCTAGGCTCGGAAAACTCCTCCAGATTTTGCTTGGTAGTTTCCTGGGGCTAGTTACCTACAATCGCTTACAGTCACGGTTCACAGAGCCAAAACTAGCAAAAGGTATTTCTGCTTCTCATCAAAGGGAAGCCCATCCTCTAAGGATCATGGTTTTCCCATAAGTAAAAAAGAAAGATTGTACTAGACCTTACAGCTCCTTTTCAAGTCTGATATATGGTGACTGGGAAATGAGAGTGGCCCGAAACCAATAAGTAAAGGTCAAGGAACAGCCCACTGATTAGCCGACTTGTAGTTGTTGCAATGGTGTCCTGCGGCGCAAGTTTTAGTACGTCGCGATGAGTAACCCGACGTTGAGTGCCAGCAGCGCTTTATCACAGTAACAGGAAAACCCAGACCAGCCTCTACATCAGCACTGCTCACAGCGTGAAATTCTTTTCACCAGAACGACAGATAACTGGACAACTCAGGAGTTCCCGTTTTTCGGCAGATTCCGGGGTACTTGCTGTCCTTCCCAAGTTTACCAGTCCGCCGTAGCACAACCACCGAGATGACTACACCACCCGGAATCCTAGAGTGAACCGGAAGTGAATGCAGCTCCTCGGCTCCGGCCGGAACGTGCCAAGTCTTGCGGCGAGTGTGTCGGTGCAGTAGCCGATTCTGCTCGAAGTTTTGCTCTCGGCTCACTGCTCCAGCTTGGCTCGGGTGGGTGTGCGCTCCGAAGTGGAAGCTGCGGCCGAGGGCGTGTGCGCGGCAACAACCTGAGCTCCTCTGCAGACAGCTCGTGGTGTAGGAGGAGCCCTTCTCGGTCTTCGTCATCCCGGCGCAGGCTGCAGGGAGCTACGGCCTTCAGAGCGACCCTCTCTCTCTCTCTCTCTCTCTCTCTCTTTCTCTCTCTCTCTCTCTCTCTCGCTCTCTCTCGCTCTCTCTCTCGCTCTCTCTCTCGCTCTCTCTCTCTCTCTCGCTCTCTCTCTCGTTTCCTTGCCTGGGCTCGTATACCCAGTCCATATTTAGGGCCAGCGTGTTCTTGGTAATCTCAGTTTTCTGTTTCGCAGTTACCTGCTGCGCAGTTTGTGACCTTGCAGCTTAAGTGAGTAGTTCTGTGCTCTTTCCGGTCTTCTTGTCAGAAGATGACTTCACTTTGTTGAATTACTCTTGGAACAGCCCTGTGTTGGCACGGAAACAAGTCTTTTTTCACTGCCTGTGTAATTTTTCAGTGTTAGTAGTGTTTTTCTTATATCGAAAACTTTCCTGGCCAAGGCGGGGGAAAGCTGAAGTAAAATCATCCATTTGCCTAGATCCTAACCGAAAGGAACCTTCCTCTGAGCTAAGCTCAGGATGGCGACAGCCTCTGGGACCCTCCCTGCCTTGAGTGGCCAGGCTTCAGAGGAACAAGGGGAGATTATCAAAGTAAGGGTTAAGGAAGAAGATCATATTTGGGATCAGGGATCCTGCCTACAGAAGAATTTGTCTCATATCAGGGAATTCTCCCGTCAGCGCTTCAGGCAGTTCTGCTATCAGGAGACACCTGGACCCAGGGAGGCCCTGAGTCATCTCCGGAAACTTTGCTATCAGTGGCTGAGCCCAGAGATACATACCAAGGAACAGATCCTGGAATTGTTGGTGCTGGAACAGTTTCTGACCATCCTGCCTGAGGAGCTCCAAGCTTGGGTGCGGGAGCATAATCCTGAGAGTGGAGAGGAAGTGGTGACTGTGTTGGAAGATTTGGAGAGGGAGCTTGATGAACCCAGACAGCAGGTGAGAAATTGGAGGTGTCATTTATGGAGAATTTGGGTGCATGGATGTCCAGGGTGAAGTAAATGGGGTTAACTTCACACTCGTGGCTGCAGACTCTGGTTTGGGACGTTATTTCTTACTTGAGCACTTATGTATACGAATAGATTCATGATTACAGGATATCAGTCTTTGTGTAAGTGATAGCTGATCTGAATAAGTAGATGATTTAACCAAATGGGAAAATCTAATCTATTGCTTATCAGTGGAAAAGATATTTGGTGACTGTGAGATTAAAGAAATACCTTAGGTGACATTGTCAAAACTTACTAATGTCTTGTGTAGCTCTTATTATAATGCCCACTGTTTTTACCATATATGAAAATAAGTCAGCATAATACCTTCTAACCCACTACCATCAAGTCGATTCTGACTCATAGCAACCCTATAAGACAGAGTAGAACTGCCCCATAGAGTTTCCAAGGAGCGCCTGGTGGATTCAAACTGCCGACCCTTTGCTTAGCAGCCATAGCACTTAACCACTACGCCACCAGGGTTTCCATAATACCTTCTAGGAGAGAGAAATAGAGAAGTAGCCTAATTTAGTAGAAATATCAGGAAAGGTGAATCATGAGATCTGGTTTATATGATAGACTTTGGCTTTAATGTCTTCATCTGTATCATGAAGACATTAATTGCATGATTTCCTAGGTACTTTTCAGTACCTAGAGTCATTGGTATCTGAGGTGTACTCAGCCCAGTATTCTGTTTTTTACCATTATCCTAGAGGTTATTTTTAAGAGTATTGTTGTCTTCCATGACAGTAATTTTAGAACATAATGGATATTGCCAAATACCCTTATATTTCTATAACAATATTCTCCATACGTTTATCCGAACTCTATTTGAATGTAATTGTTTCATGTGTATAGTCTGATCTGCTAAAACACTTGTGTCTGGAATGCAAAATTTCTGATATGATATTGGTGAACAGGGAAATGAGTCAGTATAATGCTGAAATTGTGCTGGCTCCTGTATGAGTTTTCCCAGCAAGTTGATGTTTTGGGCCAAGTAAGAACAGTTGAATGCGAAGTACATGATTATAGCCAAATGCAGCAAGTTATGGAGACATACTGTACTGCACATCATTCCTATCCATCCCCTTATCCTTTCTCTTAGCTCAGTTTCACCACAAGTTCTGTCTTGGAAATACTTACTTGCATAGTTTCCTCCCATCCTTGTGCTTTTTTTGCTAAACTTTTTTGTATTCCAGAAAATGAGCAAGCAGAGGGGTTTGCAAGTGCTACAGAAACATGCTCGTGGCTCCTTAGTGAGCATAAAGTGACTGTAAAAGAAGAAAAGCTGTAACAATTGAAGAAAAGCTTAAAATTATAAATTTTTTTTTTTTATTGTGCTTCAGGTGAAGGCTTACAGAACAAATAGTTTCTCATGAAACAGTAGTACGCATATTGTTTTATGACATTGGTTAACAACCCCACAACATGTCAACCCTCTAACTTCTCAACCTTTTTTATTTTGGT